AAAAAAAAAAAAAGACTCTTGCAAGTCTGAGCCTTGTTTAGACAACTTCACGACTCAGTGAGACCCTGCCTCAAGAATGTAATATAACCTCCAGGAGTGATGGCACACGCCAGCAATCCCAGCCCTGGAGGCTGAGGTAGGGTGATCACCACAAGCTCAAAACCAGCCTGGAGCCTGGCAAGCGCAAGGACCTGAGTTCGATCCCCTGTTCCGCAAAAAAAAGACCAGCCTGGGTACACAGTGAGTTCAAGGTCAGGCTGAGCTACACAAAAAGGCTCTGTCTCAAAAGATCAAAAATAGTAACAACAACCATCAGTCAATCAATCAATCCATCAGTGGCTGAGGCTGTAGTTCAGTGCAAAGGCTCTGGGCTCACTTCCCAGTGTTATAAAAAAAAATAAAGGAAGAAGAGAGTAGCGAGTAGCGCCGCCTCTCTAGCAACTCCCACGCAAGCCGCCCCTCACTCACTGGCCACACTACTCGGCCTCTGTGCAGCTCCTACCACAGAGCAAGCTGCGACCTTTCTCCCTTCAGCTTGGAAGGCTCCTCCCTTGGCCCTCAGCATGAGGCACCTCGGCCCCACTCTGGTTTCTGCTTGCTGCCTGTCCTCAAGAGAGGCCTTCCTCGCTGGCATGTGCCCACCGGCCAGCACCCTTGTCACTGACTCTACTCTCCCTACACTGGTTTCTCTTTCTTGGTGACTACTTCTCCTACTGACACATCAACTCCGGGAGGGAGGGCCTTTGTCTTCTCCACTGAGATGTCTCTCACACTACGCCAACGCCATGTGCTGAATCAGGTGCAATGAGTTATTTGTTGGGTGGATGGAAAGAAATATATAAAAGCACATGCAAATCAAGATACCCAAATTTGCATGCAAGACTGAAGATGCACAAAGAGGACGATTTCTCCAAATTATCACAGAACCTTTTACAGAAACTGAAGCTTGTCATGAAGAAACTTCAAAGGGCAAAATGCACCATAAGCCAGCAGCCCGCACACCCATGACCCCGCAGCACAGAGATTGAACAGGCTTGCACAAGGAGGGAAATGAAAAAGGCCTTCTAAAATGTTAAAATCTCACCTTAAATAAATAGAAATAAACTTGTTTGGTATCTGCATCTTCTTCCTTGTGGACACAGGTAAAGAGATATTCCACATCCAACACTATTCCCAGCAGTCTGTTCATCTCTTCCTCTGACACATTCTCCAGGTGGGAAACGTGAGCAGCTTAAGAGCAGACCAAAGGAACACATGTAAGAAGTCAGGCGAAAGCCACACGCTCCTCCCGTGTAAGCAGGAGGCTCTCGCGCACAAGCCTCCTCTTCAGTACATCAGCGTGCACACTGAACCCGAACAGTTGGACTGGTGTCTTCACACACGACCCACGTACAGTTAGAAGACTGCCGTGTTGGCAAGCTGGCTTCCCATCCACCACCAAAACTGGAGTAGGCGCTAATGTATTCAAACAATGTGTATCTTAGGCATGGAGCCTGGAGCAGCAAGTCTGCTCTTTACAGAGCCAAGCTCTGAGATTTCCATGTAAGCAAATTCTCCCCCAACCAAGAGAGCTCTCTGTGGTCCAGACATGGATCCAGGATTTGTGCCTCTATGTTTTGGAAGTGAAAAAAACCACGCTCATTTCAAGGCCTTTCTCACCTGACAGAAGATCTCTATGTCAACCATCCCTAAGCCACACAGCAGGCAGAAGCTCCTCTGGGCTGGAGACACCGCTTTCACTTCTGTCCTGCCTAGCATACTCACTGCACCTGCCCGCACTATAACGAGTGATTCTCTCAGACACAGCTTTGGGGATGCGACCTTCGGATGGACACAGAAGTACTTGAGGTGACTTCTAAAGAAAGACTAAAATTTTAGAATGTTAACAGGCTCTTTTCCTTACCTTTTCAGAGGAAACTAGCACTAAGAGCTAGTGAGGAACGCCTGCTAGGGGCTGGGCGAGGATCAATCTACTCTGGAGACCACAGGGCTGTTCTCAAGGCACAATGCTAAACCACAAGCCCGGGACAGAAACTGCGTGCTTCTACCTACCTGTGTCTGAGCTCTACTTATCACAGCTCCTGGCCTCCAACTACCAGCAGCTCCACTTCCCTACCAGGGGGCTCCTCCTGCCACTGTCATTTATTCTGCCAACTCTACACCCCCGACAACCAACCTTCAACGAGTGACAAGAAAGCAGAATATGGGCCAGATGAGGCAACAGGACTGCAAGTCTGAGTCCAGCCTGGACAGCTTAACAACTTAACAAGAACCTGTCTCAAAATAAAGAGCAAAGAGCTAAAGATGTAGCTCAGTACAGAGGCCCAGGGTTCAATTCCCCAGGACTGGGGGCAAGGGGGAGATGAGTTACACTTCTACTAAAATAAGTCTATAACCAGGAGCAGGGGTGCATTCCTATAATTCTAGCACTCAGAAGGCTGAAATAGAAGGATTGCCACAAATTTGAGGCCACCTGGGCTACATAATGAATTCAAGGCCAACCTAATGTATATAGCAAGACCTTATCTCACAAAACAAACAACAAAAAAACCCACACAAGGGCCTGAGAGATAGCTCAGGAGAATAAGTGCTTGCCTGGCCCATGCAAGGTCCTGAGTTCAAACCCCCGTACTCGAAAAAAAAAAAAAAAAAAAACACAAATCTACCAAATATAAATTGCCAAGAACTCAAGACACAAGATTACTGCTATGTAAAGCCTTGATGTACATTTCCTAATTTAACATCCCTCATAAAGTTTCTATGTATGTATACTACATGGGCGGTAGGTGAGAATGCCCCTTGCCCAACACGCTCGCCTGCTCCAGTCATCCCTGGTAATTAACCTTTTGAAGATCAATAGGAGCCCCCACTGCTCTATTGTGCATTAACCGAATGCTCTAGGACTTGATTTTGCCGTTATGAGCCATCAGTATTTGCTCTCTTGTGTACTACCTGGTTCCTCTACAGCTGTTTTAGGATATCTGTCTGTCTGTCTTCTTTCCTTTTTTTCACTGTCTTTAAAAGAACTTCAGGTATTAACCTTTAGTCTCTCATATTCACTGCAAATGCCTATGCATTTTGGGAGGTTTGTGCTTGCTTAATTTGCTTAAATAGAAAAATTTAATTTTTAAAAACTCAAATCTATGGTTGGCTTCCCCCATCCCCAACACTGAGCATTTATCCCAGAACCTTAATACTGAGTTACATCTCTAGCTTTTTTTTTTTTTCCATACATTGTCTTGCTAAATCGCCTGGGGTGGCCTCAGATTCGCTTTCCTAGTAGCTATCTGGTGTGCCTCCTAAATAAGCCTCATTATAAATTTAAAAAATTCCATGATGGAAATAAAGGACTGATGAAACTGTTCCAGAGTAAAGAAAACTAAAGAGGAAAAGCAACTGCACAAGTGATTCTAGAGTAGATGTTTCATGCTAATGAACGTACTAAGCTATAAAAGGTTAATTGATAAGATTAGCATATAAGGATTAAACGAAATGCAAGTATCACTAAATGATAATGTGTAAATTTATTACAGTTGGTTACTGAACTGAAGTTTTTTTTTGTTTTTTTTAATGTATTTGGTACAGGGTCTCACTATGCAGCTTGGACTTGAAGTGATCCGCCTGTGTTCAGCCTCCCCAGTGCTTGGATTATAGGCGGGTACTACCGTGCTGGGTCTTGGTGGCCAATGCGGCCTGCCCAGGGTGGGGCCGACATGGAATGTGGTACCAGAGATCAAACCCAGGTCCCTGCACTTGCCTAAGCAGGAGCTTAGATCACTGAGCTATCTCTTTGGCCTCTGAAATGAGGTTATATAAAAACAAATAGAGATTAAATATCTAGGAGCAAAAGGCTATAACATATATGAAAATATATATTTAGGACACATTAAAATACATATATTTGGGCCAGCAAGATAGCTCAGCAGACTAAAATGCCTGCTTAGGCAAAGCACAGGGACGGGGTCTGGCCCGCTGCCCAGGTGTGCTGAGCTGGTGATTGAGACTGGGCGTGGTGGCACCACCTATAATCCCAGCACTTGGGAGGCTGAAAACAGGAAGAGTCATGTACTAAATACATTAAATAAATAAATAAGTATAAAAAGAGTAAACCAGGAGAATAGGATCAGATTCCAGCCTACTCCCTGGGAATGCCAGGTGTGTAAGGATGGAAAACAGAGTCTCCAGGAACTGCAGCAGACAGGGCTAAGAATTAAGAGGAAGCATGAACTCAGGCAGTTCTGGAAGGATGATCCTGGATTTGGAATCAACCCACGACCAGAGAAAGGCAGAGAGAAGTAACAGTAGAAGTAACAGAATAAGCATCCCAGTGTCACTTCTTTACCTCCCGCTGTGCAGGACATCCCCCCACCCCTGAAGTGGCCCGTGAAAGCCAGCATGCGCCAGAGGCCAGCCAGCCAAGAGGACTGTGTACCCACTACCCAGGGAGCTGTGCCAGGAGCCGGGCGGCACCCCATCCATACAACCTATGCGCAAATGAGAACTGAGAAATAGTTAGCTGGTAGAGGCCTGTGCAAATAGGATGGGAGAGAAGAAAATGTGCTGAGGCAAAATGTCGAGATGACTTAAATGCTTTAAAACAGTCCACAAGGACACTGGCATTCTCCATCCCGGTGTGTACATAGGTGTGGTGTCAATGAAAGGACGCATGGCCTCCTGGTTGCTGGCCCTGTAACCACTTGGCTATGTCTCCAGGGCTTTTTTATTCATTATTGTGAGACAGGGTCTCAGTAAGTTGCCCAGGCTGGCCTGGAACCTGTGACCCTGCTGCCTCAGGCTTCCGAGAAGCTGGGATTCCAAGCATACACCCAACGCCCAGCTCAGGCGCTCTCCTTACACTAGTCAAGAAGTCCATTAAAGCTCGCTCTGTACACTGCAGAGAGCATTTCAAATGTGGGCAAGTGAGGTGGTGAACACCTGAGATCCCAGGACTCAGGGGTTGGTGCAGGAGAATCAGAGAATTTGAGAGCAAGTGGGTCATGTAATGAGTTCTAGGCCAGCCTGGGCTACACAGTGAGATCCTGTCTCAAAAGAACAAAAAATAAAGGGGTGTAGGGGTGTAGGGGTGTGTGTGTGTGTGTGTGTGTGGCACTGGGGACTGAATGTAGGGCCTTCACACTGAGCTACAACCTCAGCCCTCCTGATTTTTTTTTTATTTTGGGAAAGAGTTTTGTCAAGTTGCTAAATTACCCAGGCTGGACTCAATCCTCCTGCATCAGCCTCCCACAGAACTGGAATTACAAGAGTCCACCACTACACCTGGCCCAAAATATCACGTCAGCATGTCAAAATAAAATTAATGAGATATCTTCTGGTTTGCATACTATGCCTTCAAAATCTGGTATAAGTCTTTTATGTGTATTTACATGTCAAGTGGGACCTGCACTCTATAGATGGAGAACCTGAACTATGAAAGGTTAAATGATTCGGTTCGCTGGGGCCAGGCCCAGAAATCTTATTTCCGACTCCCTATGAAGAGTTCTCTCTTCTCGATGACCTCACACCTGTGCTTTGTGCCCATGAAACACAGAATAATAAATTATTGCAGGCCACGATGCAAGGATCAAAGCCACTGTCAGGAAGCTACATAAAAGAGCAGGTAAGGCTGGGAGAGGCACACAGGTGTAAACAAGAGAATGGAGAAGCTGGAATGTATGAGAGGCGGGAATGCTATGAGAAGGGCAGGAACACCCCATGCTGACACGTGTGTCTGCTGAGTGGCCTCTGCACTGGCCACGCTGAGAAGGGACTACATAAGCAGCAGGGCAACCACCTGAGACGCGCTTGAGCCCTCAGCCTGCAGGATCCCTGGCAGAATTCCCTAGACCACAGCCTGTACTTCGTGGGCAACAATTAAGAAGCAATCCGCATGACTAAGATAAGATAAAATGTCTGGAACTTGCTTCAAGTACCTTGGCAACAGGGGTCGGGGGTAAAACAAAACTGGCAAGTGCTAATAATCATGAAAATTTGGTGATGACTACCAGGCAATTTATGAAATTATTCTACCCCTTTATGTGCCTGGAAGTTTCCATTATAAATGGTGGTTTTCTTTTTTTTTTTTTTTTTTGGAAAAAAAAGAGGGCCAGGGAGATGGCTTGGTAGAATAAGTGCTTCCCTAGCAAGTGCAAGGGTCTGAGTTCAATCCCCGGTTCCACCAAAAAAAAAAAA